CTCTGAACCACAACTTAACCATTTCTGCTTTCAACACAATATACAATTAATAGTATCTCAATTATTACAATTCCCTAGTTAAATACAGCTTTTTTTTCTTTTGTGTTTTAAAATCTTGAACTCTCCTCCTAAATTTCCCATTGTTTGCAGTTTTTCACCTACCTTTTTTGGGGAGGAAAAATAAAAATAAAAATAAATCTCTCTCTGCCTCATTTTGTCATGTTGCACCAAAGATCCTGGTTTCGGTTTCGTTTCTGCAGCTTAGCTAGGGGGAAAAAAAACTGCTTCAGGAACTCTTTACACTGATTGCCTGTAGGGCGGCCCTTTGAAGCCCAGGGCAAGAGTTTAAACAGTTTTTTTTTCTTCTAGCCATCAGCTGGAGCTCAAGAGGCAGCGGGACTCAGGAGGCAGAATGAAAAATCAGGACTTTTTTGAAACACCGCGGGACGCGGGACAAATTGCTAAAAATCGGGACTGTCCCGCCAAAAGCGGGACGTCTGGTCACCTTAAGTAAGTCACATGGGCATACCACAAAATGCCTATTACTGCCCACACACTATATTTTGGACTAGTTTTCAAGGGCAGCCTCTAGAAAGCGCTATGCAGCAGTTTGACCAAGGTGTGCCTCTCTATGAGTCTCTGGAGGCTGGGGACAGCAAAAAATGTCACTTCCTGTCCCACTGGGAGTTGGGAAATGGGCCGTTTCAGACCTCCGGAGGGCCTCCGAGAGAGTGGGAAAGGCTGTTTTCACCCTCCCCAGATGCACAGAGAGGATCTGGAGCCAGATGAGAAAAAAAAAACGGGCCTTCTCCATCCCCCCAGGTCCTCCGGAGGCAGGAAACAGCCTGTTTCCCTACTTCTGGTGGATCCAGAAGGCTTGAAAATCAGCTGGCCACCAGAGCTGAGCTGACGTGTCCACTGATATGGCTACATGTGCCACCTGTGGCACGTGTGCCATAGGTTCGCCATCACGGGTATAGGGTTTCCTACCTGAGGGGGTGGATGGCTGGACTAAAAGTCCTCCAAGGTTCCTTTGAACTCTGTTTTCTATTCTATTCTATTCTATTCTATTCTATTCTATTCTATTCTATTCTATTCTATTCTATTCTATTCTATTCTATTCTATTCTATTCTATTCTATTCTATTCCAGTAGATAGATTCAGATTCAGGCTGCAAAATTCCATCTACCCACTAGGTGACAGCAAATAATTCAGAAATCTACAACTCCTTGCTAAAATTTGAAGATAGCTCTCCAAAGGAACACTCAAATGTATTATCAGCTATAAATTGACATCAAATTACTATGAATGAAATGAAAGACATTTTTTTTGAAACCTGATAGAGTCGTTCTGCTGTTACAAGTGGGAGGATATTTCCCATGACTTGCTAGTCTTCTAAAAATGGAAACTACTCAGGGCAATGCTCGGGAGGAAAACCACAGACTAGAAACATGCCATTCCTCTATTTTAAGCTTTTTTACTTTAATATAAAGCTGCAAATTTATAGTTTATTTCAAGGCCAACAACAACATAAAATGGCCCTGAATTTTATTTGTGCCCTAAAAGGAATCATGCCCTAGGTATGTTTTCTTAACTGACGTGATTCATGTTCATATCTGTTGCTATTTGCTTTGAAACAAACATACATAGAAAAGAAGCCAAAACGAGTGCAAATTTCTCATGAACTTTGGCACCCAGAGTCCAACAAAAATGCTGAGAAAAACTTCTGCTTTACCAGTTTGAAAAAACGAACAAATTCCAAAGTGTATGAAATGTACAGAGTTGATTGCTAGCCAAGTTTTGCTTTTGGTGTTTTGAAATCTTGCACATTATATGAGAGTGGTTAATCTCTCCAAGAGGTGAAAAGAAGTTCTTCTGTAAAAATAGCAGCTTTTACTGGTTTGTAAATGGCTGCATTAAGAAGCAGTTCTGCAAAAATAGTTGGACTAGTAGTTGATTGGATTAAAAGATTTCCATGGTCCCTTCCAGCCTTATGATGCTATTTTGACTTGTCCTGTCCTGTCCTGTTCTACCCTACCCTTCCCTTCCCTACCCTATCTATCCTGTCCTGTCCCGTCCCGTCCCGTCCCGTCCCGTCCCGTCCCGTCCTATCCTATCCTATCCTATCCTATCCTATCCTATTCTATCCTAATATATGTGCCTAAAATATATTGTGCTGAAATATCACTGGCTCTGCCCTGAGAGGAAAATATAACCCAAGGTTTCTGCATGCCTAAATTTGTAAATGTCATGATCAGAATATGGAAACAGAGAATACTTTCCTATTTAAGAGGGCAGGGCAGAACCTCAAAGATTTGTAGCAGTTGTGGAATGGAAGAACAGTTTGCTTGTAGAAATCCAATCTTTTCAAAACAAGCCTGCATAATTTTCTTGAGAGAGAGTGTGTGATTCTCTGCCTTACCATTCACAGAGAGGAAAGATAGCAAGCAATTGCATCTGAAGACTTGGACTCTTTTTACTTAATTTACTTTATCATTTAATTCTAAAACGTTTGCTTATTCTGGCATTCATGGGATAACAATTTGACTATTTTTCCTTTTGCTTTCAAAAGATATTTGTTTTGAACTTGATTATTTGAAATCATTTTTGTACATATTTTTCTGAACCAGTTCTTTGGAAATGAGATGCCAGGAACAGCTTCATCTTTTCTGGATTTTTTTTTGTAACGATAGACTTTTTTATGTATGTTCTTTACATACTTTTTTCATTTATTTTGTATTTCACCTTTTTATAAAAAATTAGAGAATTTTTTTTTAAAATGTCAGCTAATATAATGAAATGTTGCAGAACTTTCATTTGCATGTTTGATGTATACTACTGCATACATGGAGTTATGCAGTAGTATACATCATCCTGGAGCTAGGAAGCTGATACAAAATGTTCTAGAATCTTTTGGCATGTAGCAAGCCCATATAGCAGAGAAGTCAAGTGAAATACGTCTTGTGACAGAGATTTTAAATACCTTTGACATATGATGCAAATTCTGAACAGTTTTACTGACAGAGTTCTAAAACACATCAATGAAAAATATTTGTTCTGAGTTTGTGTTCCACTTTTGCAAATAAAAATGTGGTATACCCAGAATGACATTGACAATAATTTGTCTCCAGATCTAGGTCAGGAAATGGAAATAATTTTTTACAAAATTCACAACTTCCTGCCTTTATCATTTCAACCCATTTATACAAACTGATGTGATTTAAAAGAACAATGATTAATTGATTCCATTAATTTAACCGCAGTACATTTACTTAGTAGATCATGCAAGATAGTAGGATGCTAGGATAGTTTGTTTCTAATTCTAGATGAACATTCTAATAACAGTATTGAAGTATTTGGTTAAATTAACTTAAATCAAATAGGCTTATTGTTATAAATGTTTAATTGTTTTCTCCATGGATTATCAATGTTTTAACTATTTGTATGCTCAATGTTCAAAGTCTCTCTAGATTTTTAAGATCTTTTGCAATACGTGGATACCCATGGAAACAGTAAAAATATTAAATCTATAATCACCTGCAGCAATTCTTCCCCTTTCTCCCTATATTGCCCATTGTGATTTAAGGAAAACTAATAGGAAGTACAATTTGTATTTAATATTCTTCAGTAAATGCAGAAAGTCTTTCCATATAAGTGTATGCGTATATGTCCAAGGGTGGGATTCACCCGGTTCGGACCAGTTCGGGCAAACCAGTTGTTCCAACGATCAGCAGACCCCACCCACCCGCATGTGCTCTGCCCTGTCCTATATTTCCTTCTTTCTGGCTCAGTTGATTTTCACGGCACAGCTGATTCTATTTAGTGGGGCTGCCTTAGAAGGTAAGCAGCTGAGCTTCAAATTGCTGTATTCTGAACGCTGCACGCAAGCGCACCTGTGTGTGCAAAGCATGCACCTGTGTGCAAAGCATGCACCCGTGTGCAAAGCACGTGCTCACCAAACCGATTGCAGCCCACCACTGTATATGTCTACTCTACTTTTCCAGAGAAAGTCATAATATATCCACGTAGCACTGCAGGAGAATACTCAAAACTAATTAATGTAAAATGGATATTAAAACAGATTGATGGTCTTAAAACTGCAGTGGAAATACCACTCTTTTGAATGTGGAGTGATGTGTTACTTAGTGTTTCAATCCGCTGTTACTTTAATTAATAGCTTGCTTGTCTCCTGTATTTTTAAGAAAATTATTGTTTAATTTTAAAACATCATAACATCATTATTATTACTTTTCAGTTAGTTTCACTGAACCATCCTTTCTGTTTCTTACCATGTCCAGAAGATTAGGAAAATGAGCTTAGTGTGAAAGTTGTACAAAGTCATGCTGTAAATATCTTGCATTTTGGGAATCAATGAATGTATGATGAAAAATAACAATTAAAGACACTTCTAGTAAACTGACATTTTATAGAGCATGACATTTTTGAAAAGAAAGTGAGTGTGTGCAACTACTTCTATTACATGCAATAGGAAGTGATACCTTGGTTACTATTAATAGCAGTAACGTATAGAGTTACACATAATAAAATACAACACAGTAAAAGCAATATATGAAGCTAAAAATAATTTTAAAAGCTAAAAGCACATTCAAAGCAAGCAGATGAACCTAGATGCACTAGATTTACAACATCAATTTATAGCAAAGAGATATCTAAGGCAAATATCATTGCCTGCAGGTTTTCAGAAACAGGACTGTTAGATTTTGGTTTTTGTGGGTTTGGTTTTTTATTTTTTTGGAGGGCATAGACTTCTATAGTAAAGGAAAAGCAGTAAGTTGATGTCCAAAGCTAATGAGAAGTCATAAGGGAGTTTGTCTGGCTTGGTGCAGTAGGTCAACCTTATCAATTATAGCTTATTCAACAAACCAATATTTAATAAGCCAGGACATAGCATTGTTGTAAAGCAATATTGTAAATATTGCTACAAAGCAGTATTGTAAACATAATAACCAAGAAAGCACTCTCTCAAGTTCATCCAGGAATTTTTGGAATTGCATACAAATGATATTTTATTAAATAAACAAAAGTCAGCACTTTGAATTATGTAAGGAAATGTTCAGGTAATCCTCATTTAGCAAATGCCTCGTTTAGCAAATGCCTCATTCACATCTATTTACTTATTTATTTTGCTAAATTTTTATCCCACCTTTGTAGATAACTCAAGGCAGTGAACATATCTAATACTCCTTCCTCCTCCTATTTTCCCCACAACAACAACCCTGTGAGGTGGGTGGGGCTGAGAGTATGTGATTGGCCCAAAATCACCCAGCCAGTTTCCATGCCCAAGGTGGAACTAAAACTCCCAGGCTGCTGGTGTCTAGGTCAGCACCTTAACCACTATACCAAATAGTGATGCTGATTTAAAAAATTACAATATTTATATTTTATTAACCCTTGCAGGTCTGTAAAGCAAAGCAAAGTGAAGTAAAATTGTAATCACAGTGCAGTTTCATTTAATGAACAGTTCACTTAACAATTGAGTTGCTGACCTAAGTTGTGATCACTAAATGAAAACTACATGTTCTTTAGTTAAGCGTGAAGTATGTTTCTTTCCTCATTTCAGAACAGCCCTATAAGTTGTATTATGCAGAACATTGAAAGTCAACCTCAGAAAATATCTAGAATTCTCTACTTAAAAGTGGGAATATTTCTGATGGATGAGAGCTTCTCTAGTCAGTTGTCTCCTACCTACTATAATAGCAGCATGATTGACTATTGAGTATTTAGCATAAATAGAACCATTCAGATCCATGTTACTAATAGGCACATATACCGCATGGTATTTTATTAAAAAATTATATGGTTATATCAGGGGTGGGTTCTACTTACCTTTACTACCGGTTCGCAATGGGATCATGCATGCGAGCGAGCAAAGCAAGCATGCGTGCCTTGCTTCTGCACATGTGCAGAAGCTTCTGCGCATGTGCAGATCACCGATGACGACATCCGGGGTGGTGGGCGGGGCCTCCCGCCGGTTTTACTACCGGTTCTTGCGAACCGGTTCGAACCGGGGGCAACGCACCACTGGGTTATATGTATAAAGAACTTTTCTATCAATAGTTTAGGAAATTAATGTGAGAAATACCTGTAGGACATTTGTTTATAAATAATGCACATATGTAGAATCTTTCACAAAAAACTTCAGTGCAGAGACTTAAAAGCTTTACCAATCCTGATAGAACTGCCATCGTAGAAATATAGAACAAGTTTTCTATTAAAAATTATACAGTTCTAAACTGTAGGAAATCTATATTTGGTGTTGTACTGGATGGGGACAAGAAGGCAGAGAAGAACAGACTTTCCTTTAGCTACCAAGCATGAATCTGATCAGTGGTCCAGAGTTGATAATCTAACCATTCTCCCACATCTCTAGGAATAAGGATGATCACAATCAGCCACTGAACACGATCACTGAAAACTCTAAAATTACAGGTCACTCTTGAAATCTTTCTTTTAGCTGGATGATTTGGTAGCTAACAGCCAATCCATTTCACTGTACAGTGGAAAGCTCAACCATGTCACCAGAGAAATGTAAGCATCTTTTTAAGGCAAGTAGTGAAGCAGAACGTGGACCACATATTCATTTAAACTGTTGCTGCCTTCATAATATGCATGGTTGATTGTTTTTCAGTTCCATAGTGTAAACTGGTGCTGGCTGAATTCCTTAGAATCCTAGAAAAGAACAGACATAGTTTATATATTTCAATTTTGCTTTGTTTCTTTCATCTTCTTTAAGGTAAGTGAGTGGAGCTTCCTTACTTTTCTAATTCTCTTTCATCTATTTTTGTAAGCTTTTGTCTCTTGATCTTTCGGTTAAATTCCTTGTGGCAAATGATTTTTTTTTTCTCAGTGTTTTTACTTTTAATAATATTTCTATGCTATCCCAATAAGCAGTGTAAATAAACTCATCAGTAAAACAAGAGCAAAAGAAATATGTGTCTCCAGAGCAATATTAAAATACTAAAAGATTAATCATGTTGTTTATTTTTATTGCAAGGAATCAAAAGCTAGCTGAAAATGTTTTCAGTGTCCTCCAGAATGCTGGAAAAGAAAGGGCCAAGTGTCCCTCTAGGGAGCAGCATGTTCCACAGTATGTAACCATCACGAAGACATAAGAGACAAAAAAACAATAATACAATTATCCAAGGCAAACATTGCAGATTATTATGAGGAAATCACCCAAACATTATTTCAACTTCCACAAGTTCTCCGAAATAGTGTGTGCTATATTCAATACCTCTAGAAAGTGAAGTTTGAATTCCTGGAGGCAATGCCAGGGCAAAAACACATTGAAAAATAGCACCTATGATCCTCAGTCCACAAAAATAGGAAATCAGTAGAAGTTCCTCCCAAGGCATTCAAAATCAGATTGGTGGGCCAATTCTGGTGGGAGAAGGCAGCCCTGAAAATACTTCAGGGGCAAGCACATAGGGCTTTATCAGTTAAAAGCAATACTTCGAATTGCACACAGAAGCACATAAATTAAAAAGCCGCAGTTGAGTTGCCTTGGCACCAAGCAACAGCCAATAAATGGGCAATTATATTTTGGGTCTACTAGTTTCTGAATAGTCTTCTAAGGTAATACCATATCAGTACAACATAACTCCAAAGTACCGAATGTTTCAGCTGTTCAGCTGTCATGGTTGGAACAACTGGTTAAAAAGAACAGATCTTCCCCAGTGTATGGGTCTTCTTTCTCCTATAAGCATCTATCCAGTGCTTCCTGAAATAAATTTCTTTGCTCATCCTTATCTCAACAATCATCAATGATTCTAGCATTTTGTACTATTTGGTTTTCCTGGATCTGACCATAATATGCAGGGCACTTTTGTAGGACCACTAAGTCCAATTTATAGTCAACCAACCCCCCCCCAAGAATGGTAATCATTATCCAAACATCCATCCATCAATCCTCACCACAATCATACCCACAATATTCACTTTCTACCCCATTAATACAACTTCCTAATAGGAACTTCCTTGCCCTCAAATTTTCACAGAACCTCTGACCTTCCTCATGCACCGCTGCTGCTAGTGTTTTATAACATGACAGGTATCTTCCTCTCATTTCCCTACTCAATGAATACAGAATGCCATTCATTACTCATTACTCCTTGTATCTCTCCAGGGAGCAAATTTTCAATCTACCAGTTGGACTGTCAGGTTCATTAGCTAGACCATACCAAGAATCAACTTCAAGGAAGATTAAAACTACTTTTATTACGAGGGCTATAATAACTCTGTGTTACATATACTTCTACTCAGCTCCATGTTTGCTCAGACCACATTCTTCTTCCCTCCTATTTTCAGATCCTGTCTCCCATTTCTTGCCTTTATTTGCAGGATTCTACAAACTGCATACCTTCACTTAAAACAGTCTACTCCATTGCTTATTCTTTTATCTTCAATCTTTCCTATCCTATAAAATTCTCCCTTCAAATTCTCCCATCCCCCCAATACCCTCCCTTATATTACTGTTAGCAATTAACCATACCAATATATTGGCAAATCATTTTTTTTAAGTTGATCGCAGAAAAATGTTTCCATGTACTTCTATTTTGTTTTGTTTTGTTTTGTCCCCTGGTCTAGTTCCACATACCTTTATCAGTCAGGATTTTGTGAGTATGGTACTGAGAGGGCAAAATGCAGTGTTAAATGTTCCCAGGTTAGAATTCTAAGCAACCCTATGCTTTCATAGAATTGTGATATCATGATCAAAGAGGTCATAGAGGGTCTGGAAGAGATCATATAGATATCCAAGAAAAATATTCTTAAATGTTTATTTTTGGGAGCACCTCTTTCTTCAAATTTATTTGTTCTTTCTCCAAAGCCCTAATCTACTCTAAGGAGCATGTAATCTATATTTTACTAATAACGTAAATCTCTTCTAGCCCAAATACAATGGTAATGGTATTAACGGTGCACTATCTGGATGTCATTAAGTAAACTCAAGCACATAAGCTAAATTCTATTGTATTGTAAAACTACAGTAACAGCACTTGCAAGCCTGAAAGTGGAATTCTCCTGCCATCACCTTTATAATCCAATTACCCAGGAAGCCTAAGCTTCTTGCTCCACTTTCTCTCCTCCCACCCTGCAGCTGTTCTCTCTTAACCGACTGTTCATCTCTTTACCCCATCTCTCAAGTTCATTCCCCACATGCTATTACACCGGATGACTTTGGACTGGGGAAAAAAAGGAGGTTTGAGTCAGGTTTGGGCCTTATGAATAAGCAAGTTTGGACCCAATTAATACTGGAATGGAAGTTCTAGAGGGAATCGCAGGACTGTAGGCTAAAGTGGAAAGAAAATTCTATGAATGTAGCCAGGAAATCACCACAGATAAATTTGACAGGGGAGAGGTTTTACTTTCAATAGTTGCTTATGTAAACATCAGTAAAATAAAAGAAAGGGGACAAGGTCAGGTTTTTTACTGGAGAAATACATCCTGCTTATTGCATAATGCTACTGTTTTGGAAAAGATCCCTTTCCATTGTCCATCAAAGCAAAATGTTTGAGAGTAGAGAGAGCAATTTTTGCAACTGAGTTGCAAAACTTAGTGGGCATATTGAATATTCTTCCCAGAATGCTATGCCCCCCTACAAGGAATGTGAGAAAAAGTTAACGCAGATTGAGCAGAAAGTAAAGGGACTTGCACAAGGAGCTGCTAGTTCTTCAAAACAGCATCGCTTCCCCTGAGCTTTTTTCTCTTCCTTTTTGTATGAACGGCTCTAAACTGCCTATTTAATCCTCAGCATCTCCTCTTCCTTCTACACATTCAGGAAATGGATTTTATTAGCCTTTCTTTCCATTTTTCTACATTGGTCTTTTGTCAGGAACAAGCCAAAAGCCATTACAAAAACAAGCAAACTTCCTTGTTGAAGTGGGGGGGGAGGGGAAAGGATCATTTTAAATTACGGGTTACTTGTTTCTTGGCTCATAAATTACATCAAGCTGATTTTCAGGGCAATTGAAGTTACCATGCAGTAAAATCCTTTTTCTAATGCATCTTAGAGAAGGGACAAAGGAGCATGTGAAAATATATCTAAGTATCATACATTCAAAATTCATAACAGACTCCTTTGTTTATGAAAGGAAGTTGGCATTATCTTTCCTAATGACATTTGGTTTCAAGATAAAATTGCACAGGAAAACACACCCCAGCACTTCCCTTCAAAGCATTCATTTGTGCAAATACAACCTTTCGAATTTCAAGATCTCTCTCCAAAAAACCCCCAGACATTCCCAAACTACCTCTATCTCTCCCCCCCCCAAAACATGCTATCAATTTTATCAGTTAAGAAAAGTTGGTGTTCCAAACATATTTTAGCAGTTTTCTGCACTGTGAACGCTCACATTCAGAACCTCTTATCACTCATGATTTTTTTCCCATAAATTCTCTAAATCTTTCATCGTCATCGTCATCATCTATTTATGGTCAAAGAACATAGAAACGAACAATGATATGCTAAACTTAAAATTAACTATTCTGCCGGTATGAGAGCTTTTCCATATGAAAACACACATACAGTATATGGTAAAAAAATTTTTTAATGTGTTTAAAGCTCTGCAATTAAAGAAACTCTTGTGCCTTTCTTACATAAAAAAGTACGAGTTACAATAGTACAAAGGTAAAACTATACAAGGTAAGATAAAAATGATGAATAGGATAGTAAACCGGGGGAAAGCACTCCAGCACTGCTTAGACTTCAAGCTGAGAGTAATGAAGTGTGGATGCGAGTTTGTTGTTGCAGAGTTATGGAAATATGTTAAACTCAGTGGTGGGTTGCTATCAGTTCTTCCCGGTTCTTGCGAACCGGTAGGGGAAATTTTGAGTAGTTTGGAGAACCGGTAAATACCACCTCTGCCTGGCCCCACCCCCAATCTATTGCTGCCTCCCAAGTCCCAGCTGATCGGCTAGAAGGAAAAAAATCAGGGCTCACTTGATAAAGAAGAGGGGAAAAAAAACAAGACACCATAGCTTTAAATTGAGAAGCCAAGAAGCCTCCCAACTGATCTGCTAGAACCGATCCACTCCTTGTAAACTGCTCGGTGGTGGTAGATTGGCAATTGAGTCCAAGCTGCCTGAAAGCAGTTTCCGATGCTCTCGGTGGTGACAGAGCGGCAAAAAACTGTTTAAACTCTTGCCGCAGCGCTTCAAAGGCCACCCTATAGCTGATCAGTGGTAAAAGGCAGTGTGGTGTAGACCAGTGCGCTCCAAAAACAAATAGGTAGACCGGTATGCTCCAAAAACAAACCAGTAGACCGGTACGGCACTGCAATCAGTTAAAAGATTGGTAGACAAGTACCTCTGCTAAATCCTAAAGAATTGTTTGGTCAAAAAACTCACAGTGACTCTGAGATAATCAAACAGACAATGGCTGAAAGCCAGATCCGCTAGAGATGTTTCTCTCAGGCCAACTGAGTCGAAACTGGGCCTGAGAGGAAGGAACAAGGGGTGTGGTTAAAAAACTATGACTTCCCTTGACATGAGTTGACCATGACTACCCAGTCACATGACCATCAAGCCATGCCCACTGTCACATTACCATCAAACCATGCCCACAAAATAAACCTCCCCCCAGAACCGGTATTAAAAAAATTTAGAACCCACCCCTGGTTAAGCCTATCCTTTTGTACATACAGATCTGGGGGTTTCTTCTTCACTTCAATCTAAGCTTTATCTAAACCCATCTTAAATATGGACTTCAGACCAGCACAATTTGTTGTAAACCAAGTTGCTTTGTTTTGTTTTTGTTTATCTCAGCTGCCAAGTATGTATGCATTATTTCTATTGTTATATATTGTTTTTCAGTGTTTTTAACTGCTGTTAGCCATTCAGAGTTATGAATTTGAGATGGGTGGCTAAATAAATTAAAATAATGAAAACATCGAATATTATTTGTTTTTCTCTTAGGGAATTATATCTATCAGTAAAAGTTGGGCCAAAGAATTACCCCCTAGACTATGGGCCATGCAGCAAAAGACTTCGTACCTTAGCTCTGAAAAGTTTTATTGTTGTAGATAGATAGATGCTTATTTCCCTTCCTGTTTGTGTATTAAGCTATTGTGTTCTAAGTTTTTCATTCATGCAGTATACGTTAAGAAAATTGGTCTTTCCGGGAAGTAGTTGACTAAAAATAAATGCCTAGATATTGAAAGGCTTGCAGCTGCAAATTAATAAATCTTATGCAATTATCACTGACCTGTGGATTTTTACTCTTGTACACATTCAAAACCATTTAGATAAAACCTGTTAATATTTTAGCCAAATATTCTAACAGTTTCATTCATAAATAAACATGTACATGCACTTCCTAGCATGCGTTCGGTTTTGTAAATCAAAGCATTTTTTAAAGTTCATTAAGTTCTGCTATAACTTTCGATTTCGCCTTCTTTCACATACATTGTATTCATTTTTCTTTCTTTCATTGAATTCGTTGGTTCAAAACCTTTACCACTTCCTTCTCATACATTCTAAGTTGCAATACTGTGGTCATCACCAGATCCAGACCATATATATTTGCCGCTGCCATCCATCATGGCTTTGTTAATCAAGATTTTCATGTAACTCTTTTTAATAAGATAGCAGATAAAGGATAACCAACCTTAGCTGCCTATGGGCTATCGGTAACATTCCTGCTAATGGTCTGTTTTGTTGAATTTTGGCCAGTATATCACAAGCACAGCAAAAACCCAGTTTTACTTGAAACAAGCTAATGTTATCCTATGTAATGCAATATACTGCAAACCAACACATTGTTGCCCACAAGCCACCAACTAGAATGTAAGTAAGAAAATAAGTTTATTCTAGTAACCACAAGTCATAAAATAGAAATGCTATGAACTAACAATAACAAAGTGAAAGTTTAAGATAGAGTAATAAAAATATTAGATTATAATAAGTTACAACAATATAAAGCCAAAGCTACAACTAAGAAGAAGTGTTTCTTTCTAAGTTTAAATGACAGCAAAGCAAAAGTAGGAATTTGGTTGCTGACACTTGGAAACCTATGTACAAGAAGGTAGTTCAGTATTTCAAAGTCAGAGCCCTTGAATTCATCTGGCATTAATAATTGGGCCCTGATCTCATTGTAAACAGGACACTGGAGAACATAATGGATAATGTCCTTCACTTGACCACCACACAAGGACAGAGGCATTGTTTGAAAGGGAACTTACAAAATCTTTGAGATGAGCAGAGGCATGGTGTGTAGGAATGTTAAAATCCTTCTGAGTGAAGCACTATTTATGTTAGGTACTAGGGGAGGCTTCCGTACTTTTATAATGCTGATACGAAGATAAAAAATTGGATGATTATACAACAGTGGCATCTTTATTAGCATCCCTTTCAAAAAGCCAATCTCTAATATTTCCTCCAAGATCTAAGTTCTTCCAAATATGGTAGGGAACTAGAATGTACAAGTAATGTGCCTCTAAAGAATGCTTGCATACAGTCATGGCCGTAAATGTTGGCACCCCTGAAATTTTTCCAGAAAATGAAGTATTTCTCACAGAAAAGTATTGCAGTAACACATGTTTTGCTATACACATGTTTATTCCCTTTGTGTGTATTGGAACAAAACCAAAAAAGGGAGGAAAAAAAAGCAAATTGGACATAATGTCACATAAAACTCCAAAAATGGGCTGGACAAAATCATTGACACCCTTTCAAAATTGTGGATAAATAAGATTGTTTCAAGCATGTGATGCTCCTTTAAACTCACCTGGGGCAAGTAACAGGTGTGGGCAATATAAAACTCACACCTGAAAGCAGATAAAAAGGAGAGAAGTTCACTTAGTCTTTGCACTGTGTGTCTGTGTGTGCCACACTAAGCATGGACAACAGAAAGAGGAGAAGAGAACTGTCTGAGGACTTGAGAACCAAAATTGTGGAAAAATATCACCAATCTCAAGGTTACAAGTCCATCTCCAGAGATCTAGATTTGCCTTTGTCCACAGTGCGCAACATTATCAAGAAGTTTGCAACCCATGGCACTGTAGCTAATCTCCCTGGGCGTGGACGGAAGAGAAAAACTGATGAAAGGTGCCAACGCAGGATAGTCCGGATGGTGGATAAGCAGCCCCAAACAAGTTCCAAAGCAATTCAAGCTGTCCTGCAGGCTCAGGGAGCATCAGTGTCAGCGCGAACTATCCGTCGACATTTAAATGAAATGAAACTGCTATAGCAGGAGACCCAGGAGGACCCCACTGCTGACACAGAGATATAAAAAAGCAAGACTACAGTTTGCCAACATGTACTTGAGTAAGCCAAAATCCTTCTGGGCAAATGTCTTGTGGACAGATGAGACCAAGATAGAGCTTTTTGGTAAAGCACATCATTCTACTGTTTACCGCAAACGGAATGAGGCCTACAAAGAAAAGAACACAATACCTACAGTGAAATATGGTGGAGGTTCACTGATGTTTTGGGGTTGTTTTGCTGCCTCTGGCACTGGGTGCCTTGAATGTGTGCAAGGCATCATGAAATCTGAGGATTACCAATGGATTTTGGGTCGCACTGTAGAGCCCAGTGTCAGAAAGCTGGGTTTGCGTCGGAGATTTTGGATCTTCCAGCAGGACAATGATCCCAAACATACGTCAAAAAGCACCCAGAAATGGATGGCAACAAAGCGCTGGAGAGTTCTGAAGTGGCCAGCAATGAGTCCAGATCACAATCCCATTGAACACCTCTGGAGAGATCTTAAAATTGCTGTTGGGAAGAAGCGCCCTTCCAATAAGAGAGACCTGGAGCAATTTGCAAAGGAAGAGTGGTCCAAAATTCCGGGTGAGAGGTGTAAGAAGCTTATTGATGGTTATCGGAAGCGACTGATTTCAGTTATTTATTCCAAAGGGTGTGCAACCAAATATTAAGTAAAGGGTGCCTATGATTTTGTCCAGCACATTTTTGGAGTTTTGTGTGACATTATGTCCAATTTGCTTTTTTTCCTCCCTTTTTTGGTTTTGTTCCAATACACACAAAGGGAATAAACATGTGTATAGCAAAACATGTGTTACTGCAATACTTTTCTGTGAGAAATACTTCATTTTCTGGAAAAATTTCAGGGGTGCCAACATTTACGGCCATGACTGTAGATGTATCCTAAGGATTTGTCTTACTATCATTTGAAATGATTTCAGTCAGTGGGGTTGAAATGTCTTTTAGAGATCTTTAAAAACTTTTACCAGTGAGAACCAACAAATCAATTGAGTGGAACTAGTATCTCTTCCAATATGCTCTTTTTCTCTTGTGCTCTTTTCTCATATATTAGTGCATATGTAGGGAGTAGGATGGGGCAAACTATCCCATACCAATATCTTTGCTTGATATAATCCAAGCAACTTCATATTCTGTAATCATATGAAGAGAATTTACTACATGAAATCAAGTAGTAAAGTAGTAAAAATAAAAATGTTTGACAAATTCTGTTTTATAAAACTGAATAATTTACCTCTATGTTTTTTCCTTTGTCGTCTCCAGCAGCATACACTCACAACAATAACTAGGATCACAAGAATCAAAGCCAATACAACTGGTACCACAGGAAAAGATATTTTTGTATGGTCTGCATGGAAAAAAAAAGAGAATGTTACTCCAGCTGATAGAATGGAATCTATATTACTAAAACTCCTGTTCCTCAATCCACCCCATTAGAACCTACGAAGAAGGTGTGTTGCAGTTGCCATTGGTGAGGGACCTTTGTTTGGTGAGCCCCAGGAAATGTTAAAGTTGTCTATATGTTGTGCAATTAAAGAATTTCATCAAAATTCTTTAATTACACAACATATTAACATATTTTGCCATAGTTTCAATTGGGAAAATGTGACCATCCTAGACCAAGCCAAGTCCAAAAATGTCAGGGAATTTCTAGAAGCCTGGCACTCTGACAAATCAACCATCAATATACACATAGACATTAACAACATCTATAGACTATGCAAAAGAGACTATCACCCAGCCTAAAAAGGAACAGTGTGGACCCAACCACCTCTCCACCAGCAATCAGCATCCAGATCCTCATACTGTAGATTAACTCCAAGGTTAACATCAAAACAACAATCAAGTAAACGATACCCCAATCAAGAAACTGCTAAACAGCCAAATAGTAAACAGCCCAAACAAAGAATCTCTTAAGACCACTTCCACCAACACTGACAGGGCAAGCCACCATTGATAGCAAATTGTACTCCTTACTAGCACTGATGGTGTTACTTAGTTTGGATAATAAAACATCTGCAAGAAAACAAGCAAGGTCAGAGCACATCAATCCTCAGCTACAAATATTCTCCTTTATGAAAAAAATTTTTTTAGCAGAAATAAGATTTTCAAACACTCTTCCACATACATAGAGTTTTATCAGCTTTTAGAAAAGTGATGTTATTGGACCTATCTGTTCTATTAACTTACCTATTTCTTTTCCTAGCACTTCAAGGCTTATCATTTTTCCTCTGTGAGAAATGTGGCAAGTCAGCCCTTGTTCAACATTTGATTTGCTTATTAAAATGTTGCTTATGACCGATAATGTGCCATTTGGGTTTGTGATATCCTTTTCTTTCTTTTCACCTCCTGATGGAAACCATGAAATGTTCGGTCTTGGAAAACCAGTTGCTAAACATTTGGCATGCAAATGATTATCAGAGACGTTGTAGTCTATAGATGTTTTGAGATCATCTGTGACACAAATCACAAGAGCAAAACTTGATAGTATAGCAATAACAATAGCTTATATAGACTTATATAGACGTTCCATAGGACTCTTGTAATATAGTATAGGACAGTGTTGGTGAACCTTTTAGGCACTGAGTGCCGAAACAGGAGCACGTGTGTGCACGCGGGGGAGCACCAGAAACTAGAAGAGCAGCTCCCTGGTGCGTACATGCAGGAGCGCTGGAAACCAGAAGAGCAGTTCCCCGGCATGTATGTGCTTCCGGTTTCTGGCATGTGCATGAGTGCTGGTCACCTGGTCTTGCCGGTTTCTGGCATGCATGTCAGTGGTGGGTTTCAAAAATTTTTACTACCGGTTCTGTGGATATGGCTTGGTGGCTGTGGCATGGCTTAGTGGACATGGCTTGATGGGAGTGGCAGGGGAAGGATACTGTAAAATCTCCATTCTCTCCCCAATCCAGGGGAAGATTACTGCAAAATCCCGATTTCCTCCTGATCAGCTGGGACTTGGAAGGCAGAGAATTGATGGGGGTGGGGCCAGTCAGAATTTTTACTACCGGTTCTCCAAACTATTCAAAATTTCCACTACTGGTTTTCCAGAACTGGTCAAAACCTGCTGAAACCCACATGTAACGCATGTGTGCGCAAAAACCAGCTGAGCAGGAGCTCAGCTTGTGTGTGCCCTGGGAGCTGCTCTTCTGGTTTCCAGCGCTCCGCTGCACGTGAAGACCAGCTGGCCAGCACGCATGTGCATGCCAGAACCCAGAAGAGCAACGAACAATGGCTGGTGGTCCCGGAGAGATGGCTCTGTGTGCCACTTCCGGTACGCGTGTCATAGGTTCACCATCATGGGTATAGGAACTCAAGTGAACAATAAAATGTGAATGAGGGAACAACTAGATCATATGCATGGTTTCAAATGGAAAGTGGACATAATCACATAATCACTTCTAGGTAACATCCTCAAATATCATACAAAGTAACGTTAAATCTCTTTATATTTTATGCAATAAAATATAAATCAGTCCTATGTCCGATAACATAATATCCTGTTAATCTAGATAGAATCCTTTTCGCTCTCCATATGTTTTCTACAGTATTTCAATTGATATCAGAATTAGACAATATCCAAGAGATTGTGGGAGTTATTCAAAATATTAGGTTGATGCCAAATATCATGCTAAACATGATATCTTCTAACTTAACCTAACTGCAAGGTATTGTGCTTTAAACTTTTGGAGGGAACTAAATACTCCCTCTGAGTTATATGGGTGGTAATAATTAGATCTACTGCAAGAGATATCAACTGCATTGTTGCAGTGGCCAATAGAAAAAAGAAAAAACCTCACAAAACAAAACCTCACAAACCTCTGTAAAATAAAATGAATATGGACTGAGTTGTGATGTAATTTCTGTAAAATTCTATCAAATTTGTCTTGAATGAGGACTATTGATTATTATTTTTTGCTTGCATAATTTAGTATTCTACACACTCAAATAAAGCACATGATTTATTGTAATAGTGCCTCATTGAAAGACAAGGCCTCATCAATCCCCTATTAAGCTAGTTTTATTTGGGCAGACTTACCATAAACAGAAAGACAGGGTTGTCCTATGACAGGCCCTATAGGAAACAAAAGAAATGCACACTCGTAGCAACCATTATCTTCAGTGCTCACATTCAACAAATTAATAGCAGTATCTTGAGGGCTCCCAATTATAAAATTGATTCGATCTTTGTATTTTAAAACAGTTGAACCTGTATCTTTTTTGTATGTTGCAATGTTTTCATCATTTCCATTCTTTTTTTTTTCTCCATGTAACTTGGTAAATATGAGGCTGTTGGAATAAACATCTCAAAGTGACATTGCCACCTAATTCCACATCTTGATTGCTTGTCATTACCGAACCTGGCAGAACACAAAAGAGTTCATAATTGCTAATTGTACATATATACAGATAACAAATCTTTCCCTTTATAAAATCCTTTCTTCCTAAAAGCCTTTATACTGTAAATCCAGTAACTTGAGTAAGTTGCCTTTATAAATCCAGAATTGCTTTGCTCATTTTAGCCACTCCTCCACTTGTCTGGTAGATAACAAGAACTGCCTGTGCAAATAAGCAAAGAGCTTATTTCATCTTCATTATTTGTTCTTAGATAATGAATATCTTCATTATCTTTTCTCGGGAACAAAGTAATAGTAATAGTGTATATATATATATAGGTCTTTCCAAAATTACAAATGACAAAGAATATGCTGGAAAAGATTCTGAGTGGTCTATGCATATATAACTAAGAATGTTACTTGTGCAACACTTAAAATACATGATTTCCTCAATTCAATATAATGAAAGTTGTTCCATAAATACCTTTTACTAGATTTTGACTTGTATTCCATAGTTTATAAATAGAGCAGCTATTGTCTCTATTTATAGGCTACAATTTATATGTATAGGCTATTTCTACAATCATGTAGAGTTAAGGCAAAGTCATAGAAATAGCTTCTCTATTTATAGGCTATGGAATATATTCAAAACTTGTAGAAGGTATTTTGTTCTGATTTTTAGTGCTAAGTAAAAATTCCTGCTACACTTATAATGTTCCTTGCTCATCTTTATTAGGCTCTTGGATTAATTTCTACAACACTAATATTTTTTTCATCAATTACTGTAAGTATTCTATTGAATACTTACAAATCCAAGCTACAGAAGAAATGTAGAATCACACAGGACTGAAAAAGGTGATGGAGGGCATCAAGCCCAACTCTCTTAGTTCAGGAATTAAAATTAAAGCAGTCAAAAATATAGATGTCATAAGCATATAAATGAAAAGGATTCTACCACTTCTCTGTTATTAGTTCTACTTATCAAATTGCTCTTATTGTTACAAAGGTATTCCTATGTTTCAATCAAATATGTTATCCATATAGTTTAAACCCACTACACCATGTCTGTAGTCTTATAGAATAGAATAGAATTCTTTATTGGCCAAGTTTGTTTGGACACACAAGGAATTTGTTTTGGTGCATATGCTCTCAGTGTACATAAAAGAAAAGATATGTTCGTCAAGAATCAAGAATGACAGTCATGGGGTACAAATAAGAAATCAAATCATATTTTATTTTTTTAAATTTTATTAAAATATAATTTTATTTTAACTTGCAATAATTTAATTCTAAAACCTGGAATGTCCCCATTCAGACATTCATGGTTTTTTAGTTCACTGTTTATAATAAGATCATTCTGAAGGTTTTCAGTTTATAAATGTACTGGGAATGCAGATGAAGGCCATGTCACTTGTAATGGAGATAAAATAATGGAACAATTAATACAGTAGGGTTCAAAAAATAAATAGAATGAAGAGTTGTAATTTAGCTGGTAAAGACAATTGTTGATTCTCTGAATACATCTTAAAATGGAGAATCTCCCTAATGTTTAGTACAAGCAGAATAATCTAGGATCTTTTTTGGATCAAGATGCTTTTAGGCTTCTCTTAGCACCAGAAAAGATTAGGGTTTAAATAGCTGAAATGTAAATCAATCACAGCTGTACTCTGTAAATGTCAATCTATGTTAAGTAGGCTAAATCAAAGATTCTTGAATGAAATGGGTTAAGAAGCAATGATGCACTGCTCCATCCCAGACCGACCAACTTGTACAAATGAATATATTGCCCAATGTTTAGTATATCTGTGGTGAATTCACATTGCAGGTGCTTAAATTCAAAAATATTCTGACACTTCAACAAGTCTAGACACAACTTTAGCCAAATAAATCCCAGAGTAGTCTGGTTAAATGAAATATCCTAGAAATCTTCCATTTTTAAGATGCAATCACAAAATCAACACCTGAGCCAAAACACTTTTGTAACCTCTTCATTGTGTACACTCTTTTTTAATGGAAATGATGCAAGTTCATGGTGTGTGAATAGTGACATATCAAATTTCATATCTATGACATGTCTCTCAATGTTAGTATTAGGCTGCTATCTACTTTTAATACCCATGGCTTTCTTTGAACATCATTTAGCATCTGAAGATAATTCTGCTTTTATAAAGCACAGAAAGGTTAAATTCAAAATTCTGCCAACTAGCCATTTCAAATGTGAGAAGCACTATTAAGAAATGGCATTGCTTGTACAGCAATAATGGTGTGAAAGAATTATCAACAGGAAATATTTTCACTGATATCATCACAAAATATGCAGAAGAAAACTTTGATAACTCTGAAATGTTTTGGGGCAAGATGCTTTGGACTGATGAAACTAAAAATTGAAGTATTTAACCATAACTAGATAAGATACATTTGAAAAGAAAAGGAATAAATCATTTGAAAAAAATAACACCTTGAGCATGAGAGTAGTTCTAAATATTTTGAAGATTGTGTAGCAGTCAGTAACTTAGGGTACACTGTGCAGGTTGAAGAAAAGATAAATTCCCCTAATTATCAACATGTCCCAGAATCTAATTTCTAAGTTAATGAAGAAAAATTACTGGATATTTCAGCAAGACAACAATTTGAAATGACTTCCAAAATCAAAAATAAACAAGAGAGAAAGATGAAAGGAAGGAAGGAAGGAAGGAAGGAAGGAAGGAAGGAAGGAAGGAAGAAAGAAAGAAAGAAAGAAAAAGAAACTGTAGGAAATAATATAATATGACTGTGGTGGTAACTTCTATTCATTAACAATTTTCTAATCTTAACAATGAATTATACTTCTCAAGTTGGACATACCCTGTGTGGAACAGAACACTACTGCTATTATGCACAAAGCCAGATCCTGTAAAGTCCATGTAGTATAAATACCCTTCATTCTCTAGGAATAGCAAAGGAAAAACAAATTAGTAAAACATTTTTCTACCCAATATAGAAAATATAATTTTGAATATAATGAAAGATTATAGTGTCAGAAGAGAACTATTTATGTCTTCCCAAGTCTAAGAAAGTAGCAGAGAGAAGGCGACATCTTACCTTACATATTCCATACATATACATGTTATTAAAACTGGTGAAGAAATGGAAATCTTTGTGAAAGCACACAAAGAGTTCAAATCTTCTGAATCACCTGGCTTGTTTTATAGTATTAGAAACAACAGAATGCACAACAATATACTCTCATATTTGTGCAGTGATATGCAGTACAAATCTATGCAACAGCAAGTGTGATTTTCATGGATTGTTGGATTTTCTAAATGAAGTGGTCAGTATATCTGTACGTATGAATAAAAAAAGGAAAATGCACAATGCATGGAGATGGAGTTGACCTTTAGTTGATAAAAAGAAATAGGGGAACCTAAATACCATAATTCAAGTTGATTCGGTATCCAAACACAAGACAATTCATATCATCATCATCAATCATCATCATACTTCAATAATATCATTTCCATTCTTAAATTCTAATACAATTAAAAGCCCCCCTCAAATCTTTATCTTTCAGTTTTCTCAATTGTGATTTAATTCTACAGATCCTTCAGTGAGCTACTTTGCATCATTAAATTTCATTAAATCACATCATTTGTGAACCAAGTGCCTACGGAAGGATTTGCGCAACCCTGTTAATTCGTATTTATTTACTTATTTATGTACTATTACCTACCTTGAACATCTCTGTGCAGAAAAGCAGACTATATCAACAATGAAATAATTAACCATCACTCCAGCAATGTCTAAGTCTAAGTCACTTTGTATAATTTGATTAAATCCAAAAGAAAGACAATGTGAAAGACCCACATTACTTTTGTCCACTTCAGATTGGGAATATCAGCAGTGAAAGAAATCAAAACCAAAATAGTAGTAGTAGCATGCAGCACCCTCTCCAAGAAAACAATAAGCTAAACAAAAATAAAACGAAAGCAAAAGCACATAAACCCACCATTGAGTTCAATTGAAAAGTTCTCAGGCACAATGAGAATCACGGAAGGCTCTTTTTGCAAGTTGTTAGGCGTCTCAAATGCATTGAGAAAATCTTCTCTAGTGTTCTGAGGAAAAAACGGAAGCCTGAAGTAAAGTTTCTGAGGAAGTACAAGGCATAGTTTGGCACAGTGCTAAACTTTTATTCATTCCTGAAGATTTCCTGGCTTCCCCAGTTTCGCACGCGCGCACACAAACACACACACAATTGGACACAGACACAAAAATACATCAGTTTCTGGTGGATTGGAATGTTAATGTATCATCTCCCCTTAATGCTGCCTTTAATTACACCAGTGCAACAAACAGGGTATCAACAAGGATATATATACACACACATACATACTGCACTGTGTGTGTGTGTGTGTGTGTGTGTGTGTGTGTGTGTGTGTGTGTGTGTGTGTGTGTGTGTGTGAAATATACATGTATATTTGATCCATTTGATACTTTGGCTGGTGGCAATTAAGGGGAGGTGTCACATTAACATTCTAATTCCCCAGAAGCTGTGTGGCTATCTAAGACTAAAGTGGATTCTGAATTTTAGAATTCAGTATTTTAGCAGTATTTTATATGAACTGCTAGGAATTGCTGTTGAAATATACAAAAAAGCCCAATCATAAGTGCAATAGCCTATACTAATTTGTGTAAAAATAACTGACAGTGAGGGCTGGAGAGAATATGTACATGAAATAGAGTCATGTACACAAGAGTCAATTTTCTATCTTTGCATGCATACTGGAAATACATACTAGTTATTCTGGACACGCTCACAAATTACAGAACAGCTGGATAATATGCAAAAAGCATATTCTATTTCAGTGTGAAAAGCATAGAGTGGGAAGACAATTCTGTAGATTAATATCTCAGGCCAATTGGACAATATATCTTGGATAACTCAATCCCACTAAAATAGCATATGCCTGTGATTCAGCTTATGAAAATTCTTGAAGAACGGGCTTAGAGAAATAAGAATTGTTAAAACAACTTAACATGGGAAGAAAAAGTGTCATATGGAAAAAATGACAGGATACAGATGGAAGCAACTGGGAATGGAATAATAAGAAACAGTGGAAGAAAAATATTTATCAAAAGAAAAACAGAAATGGTTTTTTCCTGCTTTTAAGGTCAATGGAAATATGTCAGTACAACAATGAAGTGAATTGCCTTAAAGAGATCCAGTGCCCTCAAGAGATAGGCAAAAATAGTAAGAAAAAAGAGAAGAAACAATAAAAGTAAATTTATTATTCATTTACTGATGTTATTCTTTTATTAGAAATAATTTATAGACAGTTCTAGACAGTTCCAAGGTGGTTTAAAAACTGCAGAGCAATTCTAAAATACAATAAGAAGAGGTTGAAAATGGTGAACCCAATAAAAGCAGGATTAGGAGAATTAATGGACAATGTCATTGAAGACAAAGTTTGAGGTACCCCGAAATGGTTTGGAGCTAGAAACATAAAACATCAATACTGTGATTATGGCTTAATAGGAACTACTAAATCTCAATTCATGGGGTTACACAAGAAAATACTGTGATTAATGCAATCAAAAGCTGGTGAAAGGTCGAGTAACAGAAACAAAGTCGTCCATATGTTTTTAAAACCAGTAGGTTAATAAAGACAATATTTCGTATAAGCAGATCAGAATCCAATCTGCAGCAAATCTAAATAATCAATGGCTTTCCAGAATATATATTAGAGTGCTATGATTCTTTCCATCATTTTGGTCAGAAAGGAGCATTTGTCATTTGGCAATAGTTATTACAATCTTCTAGATCCAGAGGTTTTGTTTTGTTTTCTTTGCTTTGTGGTTATACTCACTGCTTCTTTAACAGCAGCAGGAAGCATCTCCTCCTATATAATGATGCTTTCAACCTTTAATTCGCTCACTACTTCAAGTCAATACTCCTTGGCCTATTTGAATTAGCTCACAATTGGAAATGATTAAGAAGTCAAGCTGATAGGGTAAAAGCTTAAAATTTCTTCTTTACATCTCCCTGAAAGGCTGAAACTGATTTTGCACATTGTTATGAAAAAAACCCAACAATTTTATCCTTGAATTGTCTTGCTATCTGTAACAGCAAATATCAAAGAATAATTTATTTATATATATTTTTAAAGTTCTATTGGATTGCTATTTGAGGATGGAATGAAGACAGCAAATAAACATTCTTCACTGCTTTCATTATCAAACAGAAGGCATGGTTATGTTCTCTAGCACATATAGAGTATAAGACATACCTTTTTTCTCCCTAAAAGGGGGTGAGAATTTGGGTGCATCTTATACACCGAATGTAGCCCCGCCCACCCACTGGCCCCCACCCTTTGGCCTCTGCCTCCCAGCAATTTACCTCCTTGCAGCAAGCAGCAAGAAGAAACAGCCCATTTCAGTTTCAGCATAACCTAACTAGCACAAGTTGATTGTCGGTTTGATCGGCCTCCCGACTCTCAGCTGTTTCAGGCTGCAGGGATTGCCATTGCCTATTGCTGCGTGGGCCTCTGCTGCTTGCTGCAAGGAGGTAAATTGCTGGAGCAGATTTTTTTCCCTTGTGCTAATCAAGCTATGCTGAAAACGAAAATGAAACTAAAGCAGGCTGTTTGCTGTTTGCTGCAACGAGGCAAAATTGCTGGGAGGCAGAGGCAGATTCCTTTTTCTTGTTTTCCTCACCAAAAAAGGTAGGTGCGTCTTATACTCTGAAAAATACGGTAACTATGTTAATAGTCAGGGGCCAAGGTAGAAGCTATAATATCAAATTTCAACAGTCACAATTTATTTAAATTCTAAATTGTAATCCATCATCCAAAACAAGTGATGTGAAATATAATGTGTTAATATAATGTGTTGGTTCTTACCTTTAAAGTGCTCCATGGCTTAGGACCTGGGTATCTACGAGGCCACCTTCTGCAACCAATAACTTCCCACCAGCCAGCACACTCCCACAGGGTGGGCCTCCTCAGGGTGCCGTCACTAAAGCAATGTCGACTGGTGATTCCCAGAGAAAGAGCCTTTTCTGTGGGGGCACCTATCCTTTGGAACAGGTTATCCCCAGGGATACGAATGATCCCAGATCTTCGTACTTTCTGTCGTGCACTTAAGACCTTTCTATTTCATCAAGCCTGGAGGGCTCGGAACAGGGGTTGCTCCTCTATCCTGGTCCTATTATCCTGGTCCTATTAGATCTCTCAGCGGCTTTTGATACCATCGACCATGGTATCATGTGTGCTGATTGGAGGGGTTGGGATGGGGGGCACCATTTTGCAGTGGTTCTGCTCCTACCTCTCTGACCGGTTGCAATCTGTGTTGACAGGGGGGCAGCGGTCGATCCCGAGGCACCTTGTTTGTGGGGTACCACAAGGGTTGGTCCTCTTGCCCCTTCTGTTCAACATTTATGTAAAGCTGCTGGGTGAGATCATCCATGGCTTTGGGGTGGAGTTCCATCAGTACGGTGATGACACCCAGCTGTACATCTCCACCCCAGGCCACCCCAACGATGCCCTTGAAGTGATGTCCCGGTGGATGGGGAGAAACAGGCTCCAACTCAACCCTTCCAAGACCGAGTGGCTGTGGCTTCCGGCATCCCGATATAGCTAGCTGGTGCCATCGCTGGTTATTGGGGGCGAATCACTGGCCCCCACGGAGAGGGCTCGCAACTTGGGTGTCCTCCTGGATGCACGGCTGTCTTTAGAAGAGCATATGATGGCCGTGGCCAGGGGGGCTTTTTATCAGGTCCGCCTGATATGCCAGTTGCGTCCCTTTCTGGATCGGAACTCCCTACGCACGGTCACTCAGGCACTCGTCACTTCCCGCCTGGAGTACTGCAATGCTCTCTACATGGGTCTCCCCTTGGGGTGCACCCGGAGGCTCCAGCTGGTCAGAATGCGGCCACGCGGGGGATTATGGGAGCAACGGGGCACTCCCATGTGACACCTCTCCTGCGCGAGCTGCACTGGCTCCCGGTGGTCTTCCGGGTGCACTTCAAGGTGTTGGTGACCACCTTTAAAGCGCTCCATGGCTTAGGGCCGGGGTATCTACGAGACCACCTTCTGCCACAAATAGCCTCCCACCAGCCAGTACACTTGCACAGAGAGGGCCTCCTCAGGGTGCCATCTGCCAGACAATGTCGGCTGGCGACCCCCAGGGGGAGAGCCTTCTCTGTGGTGGCACCCGCCCTCTGGAATGACCTCCCCCTAGAGATACGCACGATACCAGACCTCCAGACTTTTCGTCGGGCCCTGAAAACTGATTTATTTCACCTAGCCGGGCTAGCTTGATCCCATCCGTTTCGGTTTTAATTTGAAATTGGTTTTAATTGGGTTGTTTTAAATTGTGGGCCAAAATTATTTAATTACCTTTTAAACTGTTTTTTAAATTTTGTATGCTCTGTTTTATCTCGGCTGTTCACCGCCCTGAGTCCTGCTGGAGAAGGGCGGTATACAAATAAAATAAAATAAATAAAAATAAATAAGCCGGGCTGGCATAAATGTCTTCTAATTGTTCTAAATCTTTATGCTGAAGATTCTTAACCGATGAGCCAAATTGGCTTAATTATCTTATATTCACATTTTATATGTATGTTATTTTAACTGTTCACCGCCCTGAGTCCTTCGGGAGAAGGGCGGTATAAAAATTAAATGAATAAATAAATAAATAAATAAATAAATATTTGGGTAAAAGGTCACCACAGGAGCATCATCCTAAACCAGAATAGGAATGGTAAATTGGTCCATTTGCTGTGCTTAGTCATGGTTGCTATTCAAAATATGCATTCCATAGAAACATATACATAAGTTTTTTTAATGTCTGGTGATACCCCATAAAAAATTTCCAGGAGTATAGCTTAGAGTAGCAAAATCTATTTCTCTTATGCCTTCTCCCCCCACCCCCCCAACATCCGCCATCTGTACATTTACCATACTTGGATCATAGAAAAGAGATTCATTTTCAATCTTAGGGCAGTTGATAAAAGAGATGACCTTATGGCATTCCAGATCCATTTAAAATTTCATATTTAATTCATCCATTCTTTTCCCCCCTATATACTATATTTTAAATTAGAAGTTTCTTGGAGCAGGGGTCTGTATTCTACAAGGCCTCTAGGATTCAATGTTGTCATAGTCAATAAAAATAAAATCAGCTGTTCACCAACATCAAAACAGAGAAATGGTTCTAGTCTACTTGTTTAAGACACATATAATAAAAGATATCAACCATGTTTACTCTTGAAAGAGAATTCCTA